AGTCACCTTCCGCGGTAGGTCCTTCAAGTTTAGACCCAGCCGTGGTCCCAAAGTGTTCGAATCGTCACCCTTCTTTTGGGGTCTGGCACCCGGTTCAAGATGTGGAGCAATATAGACTCAAACAAGGGTGAGCCTCTAGCAGAGAATTTATCACCAGAGACAGCAACATCCACGTTGAGATAGGCAAACGCATTAGGTCTGATAAAGTCTATTCTGTCTTCAACATGCTCTGTCGATCCGATCATTCCATACTCGCCTGCATCCCAACTGACGAACTCAAGGGTCCGCAGCGGCCTCCATCCACGGGCCTTGAGCTCACCAAAAACACGAGCAACCTCTAGTAGAACCGCAGTTCCGCTGCCAGGTTCTACCGCTCCAAAGCACCAGGAGTCACGGTGGTTACCAAGTATGATGGTATTTTTAGACTGCTCAACGCCAACTATCCGTCCAATGACGTTGTAGATGGGCTGCCGCTCAACTTCGTCCTGCAAATTCATCAAGTTGATCTTGGGTGATCCTTCGTTTCCGGTCCACCATTCGCTGATGTCCGGAACACCTCCAGCCCAGTCCTTGGGCACCTTTTTGCCATGGCCCTTGAGAGCAGTCAAAAGGTGTTGGGCATCCTTCCAAGAGAGAGGGATGCTTGGAATCTGGGGAAGGCCTTTGGCTTCGTCAACCTTCAGTCGTTTCTTTTCATCTGTCCGAGAAGCGAACCCGGGACTGAGGACGTCGCCGGCTGCCATAGCAATGCGGTTAACTGAACCTCTCTGGACTCCATCCTTGGGCATGAACCTTCCCTTTGGCCAAGGGTCCCCCTTCCGGAATCCATCGTCAGCCGGATCAGAGTATATGATACAGCCAACAGCACCAGCTAGTTCCGCGGCCTTGACCTTTAGAGCCACGTCTGGTTGCATTCCGTAATGCCGGACCAGGATTATTGACCCTTTGACGCTGACGCCCATATCAGCAAGCTTTTTATATTCCTCTTTGGATCCATAGTTTGCATATACAAGCGGTCCTGTTACATTCCCTGATTTAGAGAGTCCGTGAAACACCATGGTCTGTTCCCGCGGTGGATCAGCGTATACTTGGTCCTCCTCGATTTGCGCTTCCCAACGCGCCTCGGGAGGATCCACGATGGCCACCCTCCTTCCGCCATCCTTTGGGTAGTTGAGGTAGACATCAAACTTCTCCAACTCGACGCTCTCCAGCCCGTATGACTTGAAGTTCTCCTCCACCCATTTGGCCAGGACGTAGTTCCCTTCTGTGCCTGCAATGTGAGGGAAATTGGTGGCACGTTCGAGGTTCTGTCCTATGGCGGTTTCATTAATGTGGTTCTCCAGGAACACACGGACTGACTCGGGTTGGTATATCTGGCCCTGATTGATCCTGTTGCTGAACGAAAAGAAGTTTGAGACGAAGAGTAGGTAAACGAGAGAAGCGACTAGACAAACAGCAAAGACCCTCAGTATGATAATACACCTCTGCTGATGTTCTATGCCCGCGCATATATTAAATTGAAAGTCGAAGGATGGTAGGGTGAAGGTAGGAATATATTTTCGTAGCGGCAGGTTTATCGATGACAGCGTCCGTTTGAAACTTGTAAAACGTTTAGCGAAGGAAGAAGACGATGACGAAGCCTGCGGAGGATCCTCGACTTCCATCTCCTCCAGCTCCCTCCGCAACTGCTCCGTCGACCCACGAGCGGAACTCCCATTGTCTGAGAGGAAGTCGAGGCTTGACCGTACCGACTCGACCGTGGGCGGCCTGTATCCTCGCAAAAACGGCCGCTGGCTGCGCTCTCCAGCCGTGTCATGGTTGTGTAGGAGGCCCTGCCTTTCTGCATCGTCACTTACCTCTCGAGGTCCGAGGCGGGATTGCGAGGATGATGGGCGAGAGGAGGTTGCTTCTTCATAGGTAGGGATCGGGAGGTGTTCGTAAGGGACTTTTTGGTCACCCATCGCAGCAGAAGGACCGTTTAATCCTCGCCTTTCAGGGAAAAAAAGATTGCGGAAGGCGGGAGAGCGGACGAAGACGACGGCGATCTGTCGCGCGAAATCAGGGGGACGGTCACCGTTCCACCGTCAAGGGGTTCCTGGTCATGTTCTACCAGCCGGACAGGAGTATAACAAAAGAGTGCAACCTGGCCGGATACCCTTCTTTTCCTTTCCCCGAGAGAACCTGTCTGTCTTGGTCGGTTCGTCTGTATGGCGAAGGTGAAGTTGCTCACGATGTTTCTTTTCCCCTTAGTTATGAGGCAAAGCACAGCCATGTCACGTGGCTTGGTCTCGGCCCTGTTCCTGTTCGGGTTTGTGTTATCGATCCTTCGGCGACGACTAGTGGTTCCTGTACGGAGTATCAAGCAATTTTTTATATCTTCAGAGAGGCTGAGCAGTGTGTAACATACAAAGCAGGGGAGTGTTAGGGATATGTAGTCACTCTGCAGGGAATACTACGTACTCTATCAGTCCTCTGCTTCACTATCTATGTCGCGTTGGCTATTCTTCTATGTGATCCCTCAGAGCCTTATCCTGGGAGCTCTCGAGCAGCCTTCCACAACAACCCGGCCATTCCAACACCTCTTACCAAACACCCGAGTTACCAACAACACCACTCTTAAATAAATATTACAACTTGTCCTTTCTTCTCGCGTGCTCAGATAACGCTGGTGCCTGGGGACGGACCTGTCACCACCGACTAGTTTACGAAGTTACCTAGTCTAGTTAACAAAACTTAGCGCTCTTATCGATAAGGACTGTGGCTGACGGGCTGCGAGACAGCGCACCACGACAGCGAACCGGCGTAGTCTCTGCATATGTATAAGCCTGAAGATGCTCACCACTGCCCATCGCCCTGCATGTCTATCCTCCGTCTTATGCATGAACAACTCGACGTCTTCGGCTTCTTCCTCGTCGTTTCTCTTCTGCCACGTCTTACTGCGTCCCCTGTTTGTCTGCTAGTCCCAAAAAGGCTTAGCCCGTCAGCACTTACGCCCTCGATCTCGCTTAGTCATCATTCTCGATAGTTTTTTGTGCAAAAAAAAAGGAACAACCATTTTTTAGGCGTATGAAAGTCGACTAGTTAGCTTGGTCGAGATTAAAAAAAAAAAAGAGATAAGAGTGAGCGCAGAATAAGCAGAGAGAAGAAAGAAAGAGAACAGACGAAAGGGGGACCCAAAAAATAGGAGGATCCTCATCTTCAGCTTCAAAAACTCGCCGTCCCCGATTGCATTGTCTATATAAACTGCTGTAAGTCCTTGCCCCCACTAGCTACCTTACCTCGCTGTCACTTCACCCACTACGCTACACCTTCTGCTGCTCCCCCTGTTCACCGCTCCCGCTCCCCTTTTTGCTCCCCACTGAACGCAGACGAAGAATTGAACCGCCACCACCTGCACTCTTGTCGCTTGCTGCTCTCCTTGCTCGGCCCTGTTCGTTTGCATCCCACATTTATCTGTCCTGCTGCAGTGAGTCTCTCGCTGACGGTCTTTGTTCTCAGAATATACACCGAAGTTCGTCGTACAGCACCGAGAGTGATAAGAATAACCCACCGTAATCATGTCTTCCCGACCTCAGAATATTGGCATCAAGGCCCTTGAGATCTACTTCCCCAGCCAGGTGAGACCTCATACTAGTGTCCTTGCTGGCTGTTGGCAGGGCAAAAGATCCATTGCTAACTCTCCGACAGTGTGTCGACCAAGCTGAGCTCGAGAAGTTCGATGGAGTTAGCCAGGGCAAATATACCATTGGTCTCGGCCAGACCAAGATGAGCTTCTGTGATGACAGGGAAGGTGAGCTTGACTGCTGTCTCCGTTTCTTGTATCCATATTCTGCCGTGGGGCAGTGTTAACTGGTCCTAGACATCTACTCCATATGCCTGACCACTGTCTCTTCCCTCCTCCGCAAATACTCCATCGACCCTAAGTCGATTGGACGCCTTGAGGTCGGCACAGAGACCATGCTGGACAAGTCCAAGTCCGTCAAGTCCGTGCTAATGCAGCTCTTTGCTCCCTCTGGCAACACCAACGTTGAGGGTGTCGATACCGTCAATGCCTGCTACGGCGGAACCAATGCTCTTCTCAACACCATCAACTGGGTAGAGTCCTCTGGCTGGGATGGCAGAGACGCCATCGTCGTTGCCGGTGACATTGCGCTCTACAAGAAGGGCAATGCTCGCCCAACCGGTGGAGCTGGCTGTGTTGCCATGCTTATTGGCCCCGATGCTCCCGTTGTCTTTGAGCCTGGTCTCAGGGGCACCTACATCACCCATGCCTATGACTTCTACAAGCCTGACCTTACCAGCGAATACCCCTATGTTGACGGTCACTACTCCATTAGGTGCTACACCGAAGCCGTGGATGCCTGTTACAAGGCCTACAACGCCAGAGAGAAGGTTCTTAAGGGCCAGAACGGTGACTCAAACGGTATCGTAGACGAGTCCAAGACCCCTCTTGACCGATTCGATCACATTCTCTTCCATGCTCCCACCTGCAAGCTTGTAGCAAAGTCCTACGGACGACTTCTCTACAACGACTACCTCGACAACCCAGAGCACCCAGCCTTCGCTGAAGTTGCCCCTGAAGTCCGCAGCCTCGACTACGAAAAGTCCGTCACCGACAAGACCGTCGAAAAGACCTTCATGGCCCTGTCCAAGAAGCGATTCAACGAGCGTGTCGCTCCATCCATCGAAGTAGCCACTCAGTGCGGAAACATGTACTGTGCCAGTGTCTACGGAGGACTTGTCAGCTTACTCAGCAAAGTCCCCTTCGACCCGGCCCAGCCGAAGCGTGTCGGCATTTTCAGCTATGGAAGCGGCCTGGCCAGCTCCATGTTCAGCGTCAAGGTTGTCGGTGATGTCTCAAATATGGTCAAGCAGTTGGATCTGCAAAAGCGACTTGATGCCAGACGCGTGGTTGATCCCCAGGTTTACGATGATGTAAGTGCATGTGTCTATATGTTCAAATGTTGGAAAATATTGCAAACAGAACTAATCTCATTTCTTTTCAAACAATTACAGTTGTGCCTCCTTCGTGAAAAGGCTCACTTGCAGAAGAACTTCACTCCAGTTGGCAGCGTCGATAACATCATTCCCGGAACTTACTACCTGACCAAGGTCGATGATATGTTCCGAAGAGAGTATGCCGTCAAGGCATAAATATTCGTTTTTTAATAAAAAGAGGTGACGGAAGAGTCCATTCAATATAATACTAAAAAAGACCACTTTTCAACTTGATGTAGCATCATCTACATCTTCAGGAGATGAGATCTAAAAAGCACATCTGCCTCTTCCTTTTTCTACTTTCTCTTTCTTAGAAGGGGGATTATAAATCTTGCGCGCAACGAACGGGATACGCTTTCTTTTTCTTATTTGCATGAGCTATCGAGTGATGCCATATGAACGGGGAACTTGGGGGTGCTCAATAGCGATGGAGAAATGAGGGACACGGTCTTTTTATTACCATGATGATCAAGACCAACCATGCTGACCCATTAACGCTTACTACTTTTCTTCCCTTTTTTTCACCTTTTGGAACATAGCATAGATACATGCTCAATTTTAATACATGGGGTTTTTAATATAATTTTCCCTTCGATCAGCACCATCTCGCTGCGGTGTATCTTATACTCCATTGAGTCACGGTAACTCACACCGCAGTTTTAGCCGTTGTATAACACAGCGGCGGGGTAACGTGAAGACCGTTCACCCTCTCTACGCGCTCGATGAACGGCAAAGACCAGACGCCGCGCCGTGTTGAGTTATCCTAGTGATTATTTGTGGATTACTTCTTTAGGTTAAAAGACGGTCACGACAGGTGGTGATACTGGAGTAACACAAAAAGATGAAACGCATTTCAGGCATGCAGTCTAAGCTGACGGCCAGTCAGACAAGGAAGAAAGCTCGTTAACGCCAGGAGCTGGAACTGTGGATCAGCAGGGGGGGGTTCCTTTCCCAGGGGGGTTGCTTTTTCCCGTTCAAGTCTCTGTTCGTGCCGCACTAGCTATACGGTTCCTTTTTCGCTCTCTCTTGGTTTCCGTTTCTCTGCTCCGTACCCAGCGGTAAGTGTTACCGGTTGTCGTGGTGGCTCCTACCTCTTTTGATTACGCCCGAGGGACAGTCATGTGACTAGAATGGTGGTACGTGCACTGGGGCTCTAATCACGTGGTAACCATAATTTCCTCAATCGGATAATTGTGGATTCTCTGTTAGCGCCTGCTTCCCAGATATAGTTTAGCGTTGGTTAGTCATATCACCGCATAAGCCAATAAGAGGCCTTATCACATTGATCCCGCCGAGACGCGCCCACGTCGGCGCGTAAATGCTGCACGTCCCCATCACGACCACGACGTCCGTTCTTGCTTGGGTTTGTTTATATTTATGGGACGGGCGGCCGACTTGCCCGTGGGCGCCAACCAGTGTCCCTTGCATCTACAACCCACTGCAGGGCTTGAAACAGTCGCATCTGCCCCATCACCCTGGCACTATATCCCACTTTTTGACTAGGCCTCCTGCCCTTTCTCCCCCGCCAGCGGGAAATATCTATCTTTGTCTGCTAAGCGGCAACATTATTTCATGCGATGGAGCTCTCTTTGGCGCCGGCAAGGCCAAAATGTGACATCCTTCTTCCCTGAAACAGCCATGCAGAGCGTCTACTAGCCCTCGCTAGAAATAGCAGCTACATAATGAAGGACCAAATATAGCTTGTTACTCACAGAGATTCTTTGCTACAACTTTACTCTCATGTGCGATGATCGATGATCTCAGTAAGAGCATGAACATGGGGAAGGGGCAACTCGCTGGGTTACCACTGGCTCCCACCAACACGAAAGCAGGCACTCGGACCAACCCCCATACCCCTTATCCCACCCCATCTCGCCTGGTTATCTGTATCAGATTTGCCCTTCCCCTTCTTTTCTTCTTTTCGCTTTGGCGCTTCCTGCATCCTAGGGCCCGGCACCCAGGACCCACATTCGGACTCCAGGCAAGCGGCTCGCTTGAGGGTACATTTTTAGCCTTCTGAATTTACGGAATTTTTCATGCCAATGAGCGCGTTTTTACCTTCCAGCTTTTACTTTTTATTTATCCATTTGATTCATTGCGTGTTTCAGATACCTTCACGTCCATGAGTTTCGTTTGGTTAAGGCCCTGCGACTCTTACCAGTCCCTGCTGGACTTGTTGAAGATTTAATGTCCACAATGCCCATCCAGAATTCTCTCTGGCTTGTCAATTTTTTTATTTCTCAAGTTCATCTCCTCCTTTAATTTTCTTTTCCTTTTTTCGTTTCTATATTTCTCTTGCATTTCATATCGTATGGTTCACATTTTCTGCCTTCCCATATACCCTGGTTAACTACTCATTTTCTTTGTATACCTACTGGATACGGTGTATACTATTGGAAGCTGGCCTTCCTCTTTTCATATCATACCACTTGCATATTGTCTGTTTTCCATTCAAGCACCAGCATCACGGATTATCACAAAAGCTATCCTTCCTCAGATTCCATTTTCTATTGGTTTACTATACCCATCTCCTGATTTTCTAATTGGTAGGTTGGAGAACCTCACAGCATTAACTATGACAACTTAATTCTAACAACCTCTCTAGATACAGCACCATAATGGCGTCTGAACTATACTACTTCAACCCCTCAACTCCACCTCGGGCTCTTATGTCTGATGCCGAGCTTCTTGGCTCTGCTCATAGTCGGACAACCTCAGGTTCATCTGAATACACAGGTTCCTCTGCTTATACTGACGAGTCTTCGCCTGCATCTCGCTCAACCAGTGTATCTACTTCTGGCAGGTCTCCAGGTAGACGACCCCCGGGCCCTATACTTTTACCCAAAATCAGACCCCAGGATATCACGGTCGAGCCGCAATCACACTATGGCTCTCAGCGAAGCCGGAAAGCCCTTTCCGCTACTCAAAATCCTTCTGGATTTGCACCATATCCTACTTCACGCCCTTCTATTTCCCGCAGGGCAATTGAACCTATAGACTGTTCGCTAGTTTCCCCCATCTGTGCCACGCCTACTTCATATGGTTATCCCGGGGGCGCTATGTCTCCTATATCTGCAGTTCCTCCCACCAGCTCTAGGAGAAGAACTGCTCATTCGCGGAATCCATCTGTTTCTAGTATCGATGATGCCACCCTGAGCCGTTATGGTTATCCCACTTACCGCCAAATGCCCAAGTACCTTGCTCAATATAGCCCAACTACCCCTGTTTCTGCAACGTCCTTCACTTACCCAACACCCAATTACACTACGACCCCTTATGCAGCTGCAGCCGACCCACTTGTTAGTTATCCAACATCCAACTATGCTACCCCCGCTTATCCAGGCACATACCCGTCCCCTGCCTATCCAACGTCTGCCTACTCAGCTGCTGCAGAAGCTTATGATCCCGCTTCCGATGTTGCGTCTGCACATACTCAATATGGCTTTTCTGACGCCACCGCCAGGGCCTTGGGAGTTTCAACTGTTGACCCATCTATCCCACCTTCCCTTAATGTGATTCCACCCTCTCTTGCACCACCAATGGACTACTCTTCATTGCCATCATCCGCATCTACTACCCTGCTAGAGTACCTAAATGCCCCCACACAGGCCATCAACCTCGTTGAGACCATGGCTTACCCGTCAAATCGAGTGAGCCCGGCACATTTCTGGTGGGATGTCAGAAATATTCGACAATGGTCTTCCTTCTCCCTTGAAGAGATGAGCTCTATCCCTCGCTTCCCACAGCTTCTCACCACCAACATCTCCCAGGATTCTCTTCCACTTAGCACTGTTGCCCCATCCCGACTGTATCCTGACTCCGAATTTTCATTGACTGATTTGATTCGTGATGTCTATGCTCCACGAGTCAATGCTGCTCTTCGCATTTCCCAAGGACACGATTGCCTTTCCCTATACCCAGCTCCAATAAACCCAGCAAACAGAGATAATGATCCTCATTTCATCGCCAATTATGCCAGTGATACTGAGCAGACACCATCCGGCCTCCCTCGCGGCCGCATTGTTGGCATAGTTAAGACATTCAACAGATGGAACACCGGAATGCGAAACGAAGCGCCTCATAGACGTGTTGAGTATCTCAATGGCCTCTCTCATTTGCAACGCTGCATGAGAGAGCACTCCTGCCGCTACGGATTCATCATGACTGAGATTGAACTTGTCTGTGTACGTGCTGGATGCGACGAAGGCGACGACGTTCCATATTTCGGCTTCCTCGAATTGGCCACTCCAATCGCAACAAAGACATCCTATAACCCATCCCTATCTAGCGTAGGGTTATCTCGCTCTACTTCGGCCTCTTCAGCTCAATCTTCCGATTATTCTGTCTCATCCCGAGGAGTATCCCCCATACCTGCAGGCTTCTCTGGGCCTTTCTCGGCAACTATGGCACTATATTACCTACTCATGCTGTCCAAGTCTGTGCCTCTTCCAACTCAGCCTTCATGGCACCTAAACGTTGGTGGGCCAGGAGCCCTGACTCGGCAGCGCACCCTACCAGATGATAAGGATAGCTGGATTCCCGAGCCACAGCAACGAGAGAAGCGTGAAGCAAAGCGAATTCGAGGATGGGTCTGGCCACAAGACGCATGGCACCGTCGCGAAGGCGGAGGTTCTAGTAGGACTAGAGCTGCTAAGATCGCTGCGGCAAAGCGATGGCATAAGTGATATTCCACCCCTTACACACTTAATCATTATTGAGAACGAACCTTTTTGAGTTTGTTGCATATCCATCGGCGTTTAAAATTAAAGTTTTATATCCCTTTTATTCATCACATACTCTGGTTGATGGATCGGATAATACCTAATCACACTCCTTTATCTGCTTTCCTGTTCTTTCAATGCATTTGTTGGCGCTTTTTTTTCTTTTCCACTACCCAGTCGTCTGCATTTAGGGGGAGCAATATGTTGTCTTGTCCACCGTGTTTCCTTTCCTACGATGAATTCTGTTCTTAACTATCCTTTCCTTCTCATTTTGTTACATGCATCATATGGAGTACTTGCATATGTTATATAGTTATTGGGGCATTTCGTGTCGATGGTTTGCATCGCATTTGGTAGCTTGACTGCTACTACATTGGCATACTTAGCTAGGATAGCCGCGAGGGCATTCACCTAACCTTGGATATTTACTTGTTCGTTATGTCTTTCTCCACTTCTTGACGGGTTAACTTCTTGTTGGTTAGTTAACGAATCATTGAAATGTATTTGAAATAACCATATTTTAAGTGTGTGGGGAGAATAAGCAAGAATAGATATCAAAGTAACTAGCTAGGTACCTAGGTAGCGAGCGGCTTATCACGAACAGCCGTTCGTACATTCGGATGTAACACTGCCATTCATACCTCGTCCATTTTCAAATGTAAGGTCGAAGGAGGAGAAAGATACGGGGAAATGACCGAGGGGATGATAGCACCTGGAAGCTGAACCCTTCCCCACCCAGCTAGTTAGCCAGTCATAAGCAAAAACCCCGCCGGCTATCGAGACGACAAAACCATCTACATGCAACGCCCATTAGCAAATACCAACAATATCAATATCAGCCATATCAACCATGGCTAGACAGCCGGGGCCACTGCGATTTTTGGTGATTGGCGCCGGACAGAGAGGAACAGCGTATGGAAAAGCTGTAACTAATGCGACTGAAGGGATTATCTACGCTGTTGCAGAGCCCAACAATGAGACGCGCCAACGCTTTGGACGAAAGTACGTCTGGGGGGAAAAGCAGCCGGCCATAGGTCAAGAGTTTGAGGACTGGAAGAGCTGGCTCGACTGGGAGGAAGACAGACGCAGCAGACTGGAAGATCCATCTTCATCGACTGATATCGGTGTTGACGGCGTTTTCATCTGTACCTTGGATAGCTCACATCTAGAGATTGTCCAGGCTATCGCACACTTGAATCTGCATATAATGTGCGAGAAACCGCTGGCTCTATCTCTCACAGACATTCTTCTAGCGTCCAGTGCTATTACTGATGCGTCTCCAACATCACCTTTGCCGTCTAAGATATTTTCGATTGGCCATGTGCTTCGATACAGCCCGCACAACCAGCTACTTCGCAAACTCCTCCTCACAGACAGGGTGATAGGAGACATTATATCTCTTGAGCATACTGAGCCTGTGGGATGGTCTCATTTTGCGCATAGTTACGTCCGCGGGAACTGGAGGAGAGAAACATCAATCGGAGATGGCAGCTTATTGACGAAATGCTGCCATGATATCGACTTCATACTGTGGCTGCTCTGCTCGCCTCCCCCAGGGGCAGCAGTGGATTATCCCGAGCATCTACCACGAACAATCACCTCTACCGGGATGCTTTCCCAGTTCACAAAGGCGAACAAGCCCGTTGCTGCTGGAGATAGCACGAACTGTCTTTCCTGCCCCATTGAACGAGACTGCATATACAGTTCTGTCAAGATATACAATGACCTATGTCTAGCGAAGGGCAGCACAGGCTTTCCAGCGCACAACGTCTACCCAGAAATTGAAGACATATTATCCAAACATGGCATGGAAACGGCGAAGAAAAACCTTCTCGACATCCTAGCGCAAGACTACGATATCAAGAAAACGCATGATGAGGATATTGCTTCACGCCCATGGTACGGCCGATGCGTGTACGAGTCTGATAACAGCGTATGCGACGACCAATTCGTCACCATATCCTGGGGAAGCGACCCGATACCACACGGCCGTGATATTGGATCAGACTCAAACACGCAATCACCACTTGGCGGCAGGGGTCCCAAGCTCGCTACGCTGCACATGGTGGCTCCCACCGAATCCCAGTGTGTTCGTCGCGGCCGTATATCTGGCACCCTGGGTGAAATAACCTATGATGGTGAGACGATCAGCATATTCACTTTCGGAACCGGAGTGACGAAGAAACACTTCGTGGCTCCACCGCCTCCAGAGGAAGCCGAGTCCCACGGGGGTGGGGATTATGGACTTACAAGGGCCTTTGTCATGGCGGTCGATTCCGTAGAAAACAAGAGGTGGGATGTCAAGAAGGCTCAGGTTGAGATTCTGGGATGTACCTTGGAGGAGGCCATCCGAAGTCATGCTGTTGTCTTCGCGGCCGAAGAAGCACGAAGAGGAGAGCGGGTTATAAATTGGAAGGACTGGTGGGCGAACAAGACATCGCAAATGCTGAATTAGTTCCCTAGGTAGTTAACTACCTAGTCAGTTAAATGACTAACTAACATAACTATTAATGAATGAAAACAAAAGATGATTAAGACTGTTAACTCTTAATTAAGAAAACATGCTGCACCACCTACGACCTGCATTATTTTAATAGTTACTAGATTTAATAAAGAGATAGAAGAGGGACTGCGCCCTCGACCTGCAGTGTGAGAGTGATGTTGTTAGCTAGATGTTGAAGAATGGACTAGCTCTCTTTCATAGAGCTTTGTTTGAAATCATTAGATACTCACTAGTAGTACTGTAGGAGAAGAAGAGCTTTATTGTCAATATCTAAGCTCACATTTGGAATTCTTCAAACAATCATCTATCTAGAAAGAAGAAAAAGAAAGAAGCCGATAAAACAATAATATCAGCACCATATCTTCAATGATAGCTTTGAATGAAGGATCCTGCAGAGGTTATGTTGTGGCTAAGCAACCTTTGAGATTTAAGTAGTTAAGCAGACGTGTGAGCCTTTGTGCTCTTCGGCTTCTCGAAGGTCTTAGCCTGGCTTAAACTCCTTACTCCTTATACTTCGTCTTCCTCTTCTTCGTCTTAATTACATCTTACATCTCACGGACGAACAGTTAAAAGACAGTAAAAAGCAAAGAAGAAGCAGGAGAAAAAGTACTGATACTGTAACTAACTTAGTCTATCTTCTGCGTCTTCGTCTGCTTCGTTTCTTTTCTTTCTTTATTACATTTCTGACTCCTTCTCCTGATTCACCTTCAAAGACTCCAACCTCTGACTTAGAGAAAAAGTTTTCTGAAACTCGATAAAAGGCTGCCATGTGTCTGGAAGGGGTTCTCTCTGCACTTCTCGCCGGACGTCTGCGTCGGTTCGAGTCGGGTAGACAACCTTGCTCTCGTCATCTTTGCTCCACCACCCGCGGCCTCCGGCTGCATAGATCTTCGACCTTCGCTTCCACGAATCATACATTTCCTCCAGGTTAGGGGTCAACTCAGGCCTGTTGTCTAAGGGCTCGAGTGCTTCATCAGGGGGATCTGCGTAATGTCCGTCTAGAAGTTTCCATTCTTGTCGAAGCCTAGAAATATCCCACATGACATAACCTCTCCGTCGAAGATATCTATGGCGCTCACTATAAATGAATTCTTCAGAGGAGTTCTCGGCATGCACCCAGTACCAAATATCTCTGGGGCCTGGATCGGGATCATCCAAGGCAGGCGGGGCAATCAGAGCATGTTTGGTGACTTCATCATAGTCAGAAAGCGGGCGTCCGTACTCTTCCATGCTTCTACACTGCCACAAAGTTTCAAGAAGGAAATCATCACCAAATCCAAAGTGCTTAGATAACACTTCATACCGCTCTTCATAAGTCATTGCAGTTACGGCTTGATGGATAGAAGAGAGCCCCAAGGAAACCTGCCCGGTTGGTGTTAGCCTCGCTATCAATTCACCACATACAAAACAGGATATGAATTGTTTCGTACAGCATGGTCATAACACTCTTCAGCGTTATGGTGTCCAGCATCAAACGGGACACTGAATTCTCCCCACTGAATATCGTGTTCAGCAATATCATTATAAGCTATCAACTGCACGTTAGTGATGCAATATTGGGACCTGATACCAGGTGTGGATTTGATACCTTACCTGGGGTTATTTTTTCAACTAGGTAATCATAAACACAGCACAGCTGTTCAGTCTCCCAGGGTGCGAACTGTCGGATAAATAGCTCCCTCTGTGTCTCAGCATCGAGGGAAACCCTTCTATACGGCCGGAAAAGGTTGCAGTAAATCTCAAAGCGGTAGAAAGCCCGCGCAATGCGGCATCTCTCGCTGGATGAGATAGGCGCGACTGTGGCTGTTGTGTTTCGTCGACGGGAACACGCCAACGAAGCAAAATCGTCAATGAAGAATTCAACAACGGGTGCTAAACCGCTGACGTAGCGAGCTTCTGGCAGAGCCCACTTGGTGAAGTCAGCTGGTTCGCGCCGTACGAAGGCGTCCACAATTTTGGTCACTCGCTCAACTGTTCGGGATTTTGAATCCAGGTTATACGAAGCCTGAAGAGCTTGCGCTTCTGGCAATAACTCGGATGGAATAGCATTGTGCAAAACTCTCGCTAGCACAATCGAAGGAGACCCGGAGAATGCGGCGCCAAGGGAACAATCCGCCGCTGAAGCGGATTCTAATGTTGCGACATCGTCAAACTGACAGAGAATAGCTTGCCGGATCTCTGCTGCAAGGGGTAAAAAAGGGCCTGGGCGGCGGCTCGATGTTTGCGCCATCTGGAAGTCAATAGCGCGCGCTTCACCAGGAAAGAAGAATAGATTTGGATATAGAGAGCTGTGAAGGCGGCTAGCAGACAAGAGTAAAATCCATCAACACACAAGAATCATCCTCTGACTCAGAATATCCAGTTCTATGATTAATGCACATATATTATTCTGTTTATTTAAGTATTTAGGTTATGTGCTAATTAACTGTGTAAATAGTGTTGACGCTCATTCTCGTGGTTTTTTTTTGGTTTATTCCTGCTCCATGACAGGTCATTAGGTCATAAAAACGAGTGAATCAATGAGTGGAATGCCGCATGCTCCGTGTCAATAAATTGTCCCCATCGTTTTTTTGTTTTTCACGTTGCAAGAGGTAAGTAAGTCTTGCAGGGAAGCAGGACCAAATCTGCTTAGGTCTTGACGTCGGGCTCCTCCCGGCCAATGTACTCCTTCAATTTGAGGAGCTTGACGGCGAGAGCCACGTTGTCCTTTAGATAGTCCTGAGCGTCCTTAAGGATCTCCTTCGAGTCGCTCTCGTGACGCTCAATGTAGAGGCGGATGGTAGCACCACTGCTGCCAGTTCCGGAGAGTCTGACAACGATACGGCTGCCATCGTCAAAGGTGACGAACAATCCTTGGTTCTTGCTCACACTGCCATCCAAGTCGGTGTAGCTAAAGTTGTCTGCGCCGGTGACCTTTCGGCCGGAGACAGTGGAACCGACGAAGGTATCTTTGTTATTGACAAGTGCAGCCAGGTCGTCGATGACCTTCTTTGCCCCGTTGCTATCAACGTCCTCGTAATCATATCTAGTGAAGAAGGTACGTCCATAGATGCTCCAGAAGTCCTGCTGGATGGCAGAAATGCTCAATGGCTTGTCGGGATGAGACTTTGCGTAGCCGGCAATGATGTTGAGCCAAGCAACGATAGCCCAAAGGCCATCCTTCTCTCTGATATGGTTACTGCCAGTACCGAAACTCTCTTCTCCGCATATTGACATCTTCTTGTTGTCGAATAGAGCGCAGAAGAACTTCCAACCAGTCGGAACTTCGTAGCATTGGAGATTCTGTGCCTTGGCGACTAGATCGACTGCACCGGAGGTCGGCATAGAACGGGCCAGGCCGTAGACGCCTTGTTTCTGGAAGTAAGGAATAAGTTTTGCATGGTGAGCAATGATGGCAAGACTGTCGCCTGGAGAAACAAACGCGTTGGCACCGTAGATCATGTTTCGGTCACCATCGCCGTCGCTGGCCGCTCCGAATTGAATTCCATCCTTGTCGACTGCATCCACCAGTGATTTGGCGTAGGTCAGGTTGGGGTCTGGGTGGCCACCATTGAAATCAGGGCTTGGAATGCAGTTCTGGGTGCTGGAAGCAGGCAGACCCAGTTCTTTCTGGAAGATGGCAACTCCGTATGGTCCGGTGACACCGTGGAGGCCATCAAACAGGACCTTGAAATCAGGACGGCTCTTCAGGAAAGACTTGATCAGCTCGAAGTCGAAGATGTCCTTCAGCATGTCGACGTAATCAGCAGTCGAGTCGATGATTTCGACCTCCAGGGACCCATATTGCTGGGTGCCAATTTCCGAGAGTTTAACCTCCGAAAGGTCTTCGATCTTGTATGAGGTTAAAGACTTTGATACTTCATAGATCTTGTTTGTCACGGATTCCGGGGCAGGAGCTCCGTTTGAGAGGTTGTATTTGATACCGAAATCAGCATTGGGACCTATAATTACGGGGAGAGAGACAAACACTCCCAGTCAGTTCTATGTTGAGATACGAGAGGATCGGACGATCACGCAATTCTATTACCTCCGGGGTTATGACTTGCAGTCAACAGGATCCCCCCAGTTGCCTGTCTCTTACGAATGACATGGCTAGCTGCAGGGGTGCTTAGGATGCCGTTTTGTCCGATCAACAGCTTCTTGACGCCGTAGGCAGCTCCAATGCGAGCAATGAGCTGGATAGCTTCAGTGTTGTAGAATCTGCCATCGCCGCCGATGACGAGGAAAGCGTCCTGGGCTCCTTCGGGGATAGAGAGCAGGATGCTGGTAACGAAGGCCTCGGTGTAGTGTGGCTGCTGGAAAGTGATGACCTTCTTGCGAAGACCGGATCTATATAGCTAGACGTTAGCAATTCAATTCCATCTTGTAGCAGGCAATGGAAAGGTTTCCTGGATTCTTTCGTCTTCCCCTTCTGTACTTACGTGCCGGCCTTTTGGTCAGGGAAGGGGGTGATGTCCACGGTCTTGACGGCCATGATAGCTGGTAGCTAGCTAGCTTCAGGTCAGGTCTCGTTGCTTATTTTCTCCGTCCGCTAGTAAACACTCCAATTAAGATGCTGCTCCTGGATCAACGAAGCTAGCGGAGATGAAAAGAAGATGAAGATGAAGACGAAGATGAAAGAGAAGAAGAAGAAGAAGTAGTAGAAGAAGAAGGAGGAGAAAAAGGAGAAGAAGAAGAGAAGAAGCGGAAACCCTGGCCGTCGTTAGGCATCGCGGGGCATCATCACGTTGTGCTTCCCACTTGTTCTGCTGCGCTGGCTTGTTTTGGTCGCTGCCTCAACCTCGTCATTTTCCCGCCACCTCAATTAATTAAAGCAATATAACAGATTAATGCACGAACATGTTGACTTTTGGACAGGATGCGAGACGGAGAGCGACGGAGAGTGACTAGCTACGAGGCGAACAGCTTCTGGCGGTAGTACTTTATCTCCTCGATGCTCTCCAGGATGTCCTCCCGCGCCAGATGGACGCCCTTCTTCGACGGTGCATCTCGCAGCATCTCGTCGCTGCCCCAACGTCGAACGGCCTCCTTCACGCTGCTCACGTCCAGGATGCGGTAGTGCAGCCAGTCCAGCACCTGTACGTACGGCGGCTGGGCAAGAAAGGCCCGGTCCGCGTGTACGCTGTTCCCCGCGAGGAGAGCGGTACCTTGTTTGGGTACATGCTGCTTGATATACGCCAGCAGGCCGTTCGCTGCCTCTTCGGCTGTCGTGGTGGCTGAGAGCACAGCGGCAGTCAGGCCAGAGCGGCCGTGGGTGGCAGTGCACCAGGCATTCATGCGGTCGAGGATGTCCTGCGGGAGGTGGACGATGACCTCGAAGCCTTTGGGTTCGAGCAGGTTGAGCTGTGCGTCTGTGATGTAGCAGCATACCTGCATGATGTGGTCATTTGCCGGGTCGAGTCCCGTCATCTGCGTATCTCTTGGTTAGCTGGCTGCGCTAGATAGACTTCTTCTAGCATATACGAAGAAGGCTTGGGTCGATGGGGTCGAACCTCACAATCAATCCAGACTAGAGGATCGCTAGACCGTTGGAGAGCCATGGTTCGGGGAGGAGAAGATGGAGAAAGAGCTCAAGGGGGAGCTTGGTTACCGGGATGCGGAGAGAGGACAGAAATGTGATGGGATGGAGAATAAACATGTACTCCGTAGATATTGTCATCGGACCTGGAGTGGCCACAAGGGAAATTATTCCGTGGCCAGCCAACTAGTAATATAACCATATTTAAAATTATACAGCAAGGAATAAAATAGAAAAAGGTAAAAAAATGTATAGAACTGGGTATCAGAGATAGACCTCTCTCCAAGGTGTATTTTTCTAAAAAAAGGCCAAAGCTGATTAAAATAATAGCAGTAGGCGAGTAAGAGATGAAAAAGGAACGTAGACAAAAACGCCAAAAGGAACACATATCCAGAGCCTCCAGAGCCGTTTAGTTTAAAAGGATACCACCCATTAAAAAAAAGTAAACCAAGAAAAAATTTATCCGCGAAATATGAACCTCCAGGGCATCAAGCGTAGTTCGCATATCGAGAATCGTTCTGATGATCGGGATAATTGGAATCGTTGCGGAAGCCACTGCGGGATGGGTTGCGCGCTTCAGGAGGACGGTTGTCGAAGGGCACAGGCGAAGTTGGATGTGTCTTTGTTAGAGGGAACTCAGAGGGGCTCAAGGCAATGGTAGAGCCTCCGTCGTCTTCATCCTCTGTGGTCTGACGAGACCTGACGGTCTGGTGGATGGTTTGCTGCTTGTAGATACCCCCAGACCCCAATCCGTTGGAACGGTTGCTGCTGCCCCATCGGTTGCCGTACGGCGTCGAAGAATTGTTGCTCTTGAAACCCAGATTTGGGAAGTATCTCTGTACAAATGGCCGGAGAACAGGTATCGAGGCGCAGATCACGGCAAGGTTTATTTCGAGGTCGGTCCATACCCAGACTTTGTATCCTTCCCCTGAAATTGAACATCCAGTCAGTCTCCTGAAAAAGAAATAACAGTTATGGGGGCTGAGGTCTTTTCACTTACAGGTAACATCGTATGTTCCCACAAGGGTCTGGTACATGTAAAACGACTTGATGCATCCTGCTAAGCAGGCACTGTACGAAAAAAATCAAGTCAGCTATTGTTTCTTCCTTGCAAAAAGAAAAAAGGGGGTATCGGAAATCGAGAGCCATACATAAAACCCAAAGTCATCATCACGATAAGGACAATTCTGTCTCGCAATGGTAGATGCAATTTCCACAGCGCAGGGCAAGGTGTGAGAAGTATCATGACGTCCATCACAGCGTTGGAGTAAATAGCTGGCAGCAATCTATATTCTTCGTTCATGCAGCCTTCTTGTAGGAAGGAGGTCCAGTAGTGCGTAAGCGGACTAAATAGCACGCGAATTAGGATCTTGTTTCTTTGGCTTCGGCAATAATAAAGTTAGACGAACGGGGGGCCTTACATGCAGGCAATAAGCATGAGCACCATGAAAGTGATAAACCAAGCAAGAACCAGGCCGACCTGTATCCATGCTATTCTGATGTATATCTTTTCGGTGAAGAAACGGAGGTAGGAAGCCAGAATAGATAGTTTAACGAGGGACATGAGCGGAACGAATAAGATTTGGCATATGTAACTCGTCTATATCGCGGTCAGTATACTGAAAAAATCTAGCAAGGTATAATCATAATAAGGTATTGGGTTAGGTAGGGGATGAATATCTTACTATTCTCGACTCTCTGAAATGGTTGAACTTGAAGTCCCAGATGTGATAGCCTGCCGAGCAGATAATATCGTCAGCTAACGAATGAGCCTAGTACTAGGTATATGGAAATAACTTACCCCATCCATAATTTGTACTGATGATTGCTGCTGCTGAGATGCCCACTAGACACGGCTGAAGAAGATAATGTTAGCTAATGTCTGATTGCCCGTATTATACCGATTATACGGACTAAATAAGGAAGGGGAAATGGAACATACCATAGCTGCCACCATAAGCCAATCATCCCATGACGCAGCTTTTCGCAAATGAAGACGTACGAACATGCGCAGTGAAACGATGATAACTGATAATGTGGTGAAGGTGACTCCGAGAATGGCCAACTCAGGTCCTTGAAACTCTGGATTGATGCGGTTTGGCTTTGGCCACGTCCGTATGACCTCTGGAGGCGGATTTCTCATTGTGACGGTTAAAGGATGCCCAAAAGCAGCCAAAGGAGGAACAAGTAGTGAATGAGTGTAGTTGATGAGTTGAACCAAGCTTGCCGAGATTCCAGCTGGGTCACTTCTGATCTCTGGGGAGTGGGCTCTTGATGGGGTATATATATACAATATATAGCAAGTGCCGATGCTTCCTCCCCTCCCCAAAGGCTCCGAGATCTAGTGCCAGAAATAGAATTTTGAGCAACCACAGAACGAACGAGAAAGCGAGGAGAAGAAACGAGGAGGCTTAAAGCCAAAGAAAAAGAACGAAGGCGAGAAAAGCGAGAGCGATGCCAAATGTTTATAGGAAGCAAGTCGACATCGATCGTCCTGAGACCCGCTTAGTTGGGTTGGAGTGGAATCCCGACTGTTTGGAGGGAGATAGGCCGAAGCAACGTAGATAGGTATAAGTATACATAACCAAGTGCGTTGTTATACGAGCGGAGGCGAACTTTTGCTAGAAAAGAAAAAAGTAAAATAGGACATCTAAAAAACGGGCATGTTTAGTTCAAGGGCTAGAAAGAGGAAGGCCAAACGTCCATGTCTTTGCCGCTTGGGAAATTAAACGCATCGCTTCCCTTGGGTTGATTCAAGGTTCAATAATGTACCCCGTTGATATCCCCATCCATGGATGGAGCCCACGCCAGATCCCTGATCAACCTCGTATGAATAGTAGGTAACTAAGCGACAGCCCCTGTAGCGTGCTTCACCAGCAACCGTTTTGTTTTTTAGTCTTGCTTCCCTGCTGCGTTTCTTCCTGGTCCTTTATTTTTTTCTTTGGCCGACCCTGCAGATAACAAGTTGGTTACGGGACAAAGCGTACCCCCTAGGGGACGATGAGCTGTGCTGTTGCTGTTGCTGTTGCAGCGTTCCCCCTTATCATTTCGATGTGCATTGCGACAACAGCAACCTCTTCCGATTCATGCATGAACTGCTTCCCGTACCCTTGCTAGACATCTGATTCAGGAACCCTTGGGCAAGCCACCCTAAGTAGTGTCACTGAGTGTGGATCGGTGGATCCTCCATCTTTCTAGACTAATCGCGAAGAGGTAAGGGCTCGACTGGTGGCCTCTCTTTTCTGGGCATGGCTGTTCGATAGGGTTTGCGCTCATCAACCTGCGGCATCCATGAACTTCCTCAATTGGTTGTTGTAGAGACGACTTGGTGCCTGGATTCTCCACGCCATGTCAAAGCAGGAGGAGACAGCGTAAATTGTAGATGCGCATACTCCCAAGCCCTGCCTGTACGGAGTACGGACTATATGTAGGCACGTAAGGCCGGGTTGTATGTATGTAAGGAAGTAAGGAGGAGATGCCTCCCTTGCTCGCATGGGCACAGACGCAGACTGACGGCCCTGATGGAGCAAGCAGCGCGGCCATCGTTTGGTTAGTTGGCTAGTGCATCTTCCCCTCTCTCCGTATTAAATCGAGCATGCATAATTAGGTCGCGATCGAGTAATTAGTACGGAGTTGGCTTGTTGCAAGTGTCATGTTTGATGATGCTGCACCAACCCCAGAAGGCCTTTCTAGACTCCTTCCTCCCAGCATCGAGATACGAGTTGATATCGAGAAGCCTGGCTGCGCAACAAGCGAGAGTAGTTCGCAGAGCAACAAAGTTGGCCGTTTTGCTTCCATTTCTTCTTCGTCTTCTTCTCTTCGTTTTCCTATTTCCGTAGTCAGCTCTCTTGTTTTCATGTTCACCCTCAACGCTTTCTGCTTGTCCTGTCTGCTTCCCTCGGAAGGACGGAAACACGGTAAGTCGCAAAAAATTCTCACAGGTAAAACGCAAGCTTCTTTCTCTCCATACGAGATTCCGAAACCTCTGGGCCACCGGCTCTGGCGGAGACATGTGACTTGGCACTTAACAATCGGGTTTACTCGT